AGAGCAACGGAGGAACAGGTTTTTGCAGAGGACGGCCAGGAGCACAGCCATCCTTCGCTTACCCTTTTCTTCAGGATGCTCCCTTTGTTCAGGGCTAGCCCATGCTCTGCCTGGCACTACAGCCCTGAGGGCAGAGCGAGCTAGGAATAAAAGGGGCCTCTGTTCCCATGATGGTCTGGAAGGCTGAGGCCCTCCGGCTGTTGCTTCGCTGGAGGCACAGACAGACACGCAGCTCCCAGGCCTCTCCTGGGCTTGAGGCTGCCTTGCCTTCCTTTGCCCGCCTGGGACTCTGGGTAGGCTCCTGCCTGGAGCAGATGGACCCCGCCGGTGCCGGCACCCCCACCAGCCACCCCAAAAACGTACCTGCCATGATAGCCGAGGATGGCTGCAGGGGCTCAAAGGGACACTTCTTCCTCCCTGTCTCCAGTCGCTCCACCAGGCGGAACTCACTCGCTTTCTGTGAGGGAGACAGACAGACAGACAGATGGGCATATGGACAGAAGCCGGTAGGGGAGGAGGAAAAGGAGCGCTTGCCCCTCCGTTCTGCTGCCAGACCTACCCACTGAACTTGGGGGGTTGGCCCCTAGCAGGAGAGCAGGCCCCCTCCCCAAGGCAGGGCCAGAGCGGTCACTCTCCTGGTTGAAAGGCAGCGGCACTGAGCCCCAGGGGAGGGTCCGGCCACCCCTCCGCCTACTCACGATGTAGCCGCACTGGGGGTCAAAAGCGAAGGTACCGCAGACGAAGAGGTGGCTCCGGTTGGCAAAGTCCAGGAGTCGTACAAAATTCTGGCACTCCGCCTGCGAGAGGCAAGAAGGTAGAGCACAGAGGTGGTGGAGGGGGTGCTGGAGGAAGGACCCCCCCCAGTCCTTGCCCCCATGGCATGAGGGACGGGGGCAGAACCCCATTCCGGGGTCAGGGGAAGCTCGCTGCTCATCCCTCCCCCACTGCCAAACACACCCTGCAGAATGGAGCTTGGGAGCCCCCCTTGAGGGAGGGGGCATGGCCGGCCTGAGAAAGCCGCCCGCTGGGGGGGCCAAGGGGGCCTCGGCAGCCCCTGGCACAGCAGATACCTCTGTCAGCGGCTGCTCCCCAGAGCCAGGTCCATTCCTGGAGGGGTCAGGGCGGCCCAGTCAGAGCCAGTGATGGGGGGGGAATGGCCCTGAGCCCTCCAACCACCAGCTCTCCGTGAGGCCCTAGATGGCAGTCGCTGGAAGGGTGGATGGGGCCCTCCAGAACCAGGGCCTCCCAGGCAGAAGACGCTGCCCCCTCCTCTCCCTGGCCGACACCCACGGCTGTGCCCCCCCCCCAAGAGCAGGACTTGCCTCTTCCTTCCCCTTCTGCATGCAGGAATCCTGGTGAGCCTTTGGAGCCGTCCAGGAAATCTGCAAGAGCCCAAAGGAATGTCGGGGGGGGGGTTAGCAGGCAGGGCGGGGAAAGGGGTCCCGATGCCCATGCTAGGAGTTCCCTGCCCTCCCAAGCCCAAGGGAGGGAAGGGAAGAGGGGCCGACACCAGGTCCTCCCCCCTCCGGGGCCTGGCAAGAGTCTTCTCCCACACCCACACCATTCCCCATCTGTCTGGCTCAGTGTGTGTGTGTGTGTGGGGGGAGGACAGAGTGACCAGGCCAAGCAGCAGCCGTCAGGGGAGGGGGGCACTTTTTCTGTCCCCCCCCCAATGCCACGACAAGGGGAAGTCATGTGTCAGAGTGCTCTTCCCCCCCCCCCACTGCACCTTCTTGCCAGGGAGGAAAAAGAGTCCGGGGAGGGCGGCTCACCTTCTTGGGACGCTGGTCGATGGCCCCCAAGGGGAGGGCAAAGATGGCATTCCTGGCGCCCACATAGAGAGTGCGCGCGTGGGGGTCCACCCGGAGGACGCCGTAGTGC